AAAGTGAGAGAGAGAAGGAGATTAGGGTCTGTGGTTTGATGAGGAAAATCTCACAATATTTGGGCCAAGATAATATACCATTCGGGCCGAAATTGCATGCTATTTGGGCCGGGAAATATATATCAAAGCTGCGGTTGAAAATAATAAGGGCCGGGACTCGGGCTCGATCGATAATTAAAATAAAATCGGGATATTTATATATATATATATAATTATATATAATACACATAATAATATTTATTAATAAATAAACATTTAAAACACATATTAACAATTAGGCAAATTAAAAATTTAATATAAACATTAATACTAATAATAACAATAATCAATTAGACAATTAGTTGCAATTAGGCATTTAGCTTTTACATTAACAATAATAACAATAATGATATCAAATTGGCAAATAATAATAATCATACTAATAATAAAAGCAATAATAATTTAAATAATTCCTAAATATTTTACGAATAAACGGGGCATTACAGTCTACCCACCTTAAAAGGAATTCCGTCCTCGGAATTCGTAAATAAAACATCCACACTCTAAAATACAACCTCAAACATGAAGATAGGATATCTCCTATAGTCTCGCCTCAGTCTCCGCAGTTGCCCCAGACTTGCTATGCCGATTCCATTGCACCTCGACGAGATCGACTGCCCGGGTCCTCAGCTGATGAACCTTCCGGTCCAGTACGAACTCGGTACCTACTCATAGGTAAGGCCGCGCTCGACCTGCAACTCGACAAAGTCCACCACGTGTTCGGGGTCACGCACTCCGACAACACAGGCGGTAAAGCTAACCGGTAGGCCAAGTCTTTGACTTGTGCGAGAGTCTGAAAGGGTTTGTTGTAGCGAGGTCAAAGCTTTCCCATTCTTCCCGAAGCAAACCACACCTATCGGGTATGACCTTCAGGTAGACATTCGCGTCAACATAAATATCATGGTGATTACATAGCCTCCAATCGAGACTCGAGATTCCGCTCGACAATGCAGCACCACGATTATCTGTCTGTTCGAGGAACATTCCTCATACGGCTAAGCGATTAACAACAAACTCACTTAATTGAGAATTAAGTGGTCATACGTCGGTTCGGTGGAATTTGAAGCTCTCGGTTCAAAGTTCAAAAGATAAGGTTCTAGAGGTTTCCCAACACATTTCGGTACAGAAACTAGTTGAACGGTTCAAAAACAAATCAACGGTATAGTACTGACTACAAGGTCAAGGTTTGACTGTACACACTGACCTGGGGAGTTTGGCGTTCGGTGATGGCGGCGGCAGCTCTCGTGCGAGTCAACGGTCGGCCACTGCAGTTGGCCTCACGTCTCTCAGCACGGGCGTGCGGGCTCGGCCACCACTTCGCGTGGCTACACCCAGTCAGTTTCGGCACTCGGTTCGAGGCTCAGAAAAAGAAATTCTCTAACTCTGGGATCATAATCTCTAAGGTAACTGAAAGAAAAATGGTTTTACACAAAAATCCCAAACTATGAAAATTTTGGGTTCAAATAAAGATGATTCCATTAGGTACAAACAATTTCAACGGTTTCAAGGGTGTCAAGCTTTATATGGCATAAGATAAATTCCAAGTCCACCAACTTCTTGAATCAACAAAATATCCATTAAACAACCAACAATAAAGGTCTGGAAAACTTCCCGAAAGTAACGAGGATCGGCTCCTTAACTAGGAATAATCTCAATCCCAACGGTCATTACCGAG